AGAACTGTCCTTAAAGATTCCCGGGCCAAACTCTTGGTTTCTTCTGGACTTGTGCTTTCTCCTGTTATATAAAGCACAGACTTACAAATAAGAAAAACAATTTAGCCTTCAAAGCACAGACTTCCATACATAGAAAAAAATTTGCCAATATAAGTTTTGTCTTTGAGATCAATATTTTCAGTTTAGACAGTGCTAATATTACAAATGTAACATGTTACTCAATTTGAGCCTATAAACAAATACCATAATATTACATTAAAATCAATATTTATATAATACAGGTATTATTCAGTCATCATATGCTTGTACATCCTGTGTACTGATATATGAATTGATCTATACATATGAACATACCGCACAGCTGCTGAGTATCAGGTGTTTTTAAATGACATAAGATAATAAGGGTAATATGTTGTTTATTACACTGAAGTGATATTTGACTGGGATAGAATTATGAATAATACTCCTATAATTTTAGGATTCAAGATTACAAATAAAGGGATTAGAAGGCAAATACAAATATGTCATACTGTAGAAAATCTACATCATCTATTACGAATCAAACTACTCTAAATATTCTAAGTGAGAGTAATATTTTCATACTTATGGAGGAGGGAACAGCATGCTCATCAGACATGCATAAGATGCTCTCCTGTTTTGGAGATGCAAAAGGTGGTGCAAGTGCCATAGCATCATGGGAACTTGACTTCCTGTCACCAACTGAGTTACGATGCTTTCTTTCTGGTACAGCCCAGGATCTACTTCTGGTTCCCTTGATATCATGGTGGTCGTGACTTAGCTAAAAATAGATAAATTAAAATAAAATGCTAAGACAAGGCTGGAGTAATAAAATCTATAAATGATCATGAAATACATTTAACTGATAAAGTTATTCATGTACTGTTGATCTCTTTGTACTTTGCCTTTTTCTCTTCATGGGATCAAAATAAATACAAATGTACACAAAAATAATACACATTTTAATAAAATTCATTATCTCTCTCTCTCTCTTCATTCTTAAAAATGTTGTCTTTGATTTGATTTCTCTCCACTTTAAAAAAATATTATAATTAAAATGCACATGATATACCGGTAAGTATACCTTGTGGGGTTATATTCGAAAGAAATGGCTATCTAGCTTGATAGTTTTATAAAGGAATAATATTTACTGGTCACAGTAAGAGTTATCTTTCATTGATCAGAGGGTCAATGAACCTAAAGTTGTCCATTTCCTAACAAAAGTTGGCCAATGTCATAAAACTGCAGAAATTACCTACTACATATTGTCTGGAAATCAATTCAATTTCTGTGTATAATAGTTAAAACAGCTAAAACTAGCTATACTTATATGGATCAAACTTTATAAAATAAATTTCCTTTACCAATTTTAGATCCAGCTCAGCTAACATGGAAATTCTGTTGAGCTCAATGGCTTTAAGACAGACACACAAAGCCTTGAAGTACTGTTCATCATTAAGGAAAGCAAACTCTGAAATGCCAGATATTCACAATAATCTTAATCTTAATCAATTCAAAACAATACAAGCGATACCACGTTATCAAAAATAATAAATTTTAACACACTGATACTTACCAAAGTAAAACTTGCTCATCAGTGCCTTGTTGGACACAAGGGTAGATAACTGGGAGGATAGGGTGTGGTCCCTTAAGCTCTCTCTAAGCCAGGTGGTTCCCTTGTTTCCTCCTGACCTATTGACCTTGTCCAGTGCGGGGGCCAGGACAGGGTTCAATGTCTTCAGACTGTACACAACTGGCCAGAAGTCAAGCTGTATGCCCAAGTCTCCCTGTTTAAATGAATTTTATTTTTATCATTACTGGATATTATAGTAAAACATGCTTAATACCATAATTGCAAGGGACAAAGAATTTTGCTCCATTACAAATGAAGTCCATTAAATTAAGTTCAAAATCTATTTTAAATCCCCTGGTTAAGAAATCACTAAGCTGTAAGCATCAGTTCATAACAAGCATGCTCGCTATAAACATGTTTGACTGTATTATAATTCATAATCTCTCGTTTGAAGAATTCATGAAAATCTGTGTTCCAAACCAAAAACATACTTTAAAACCACCAAAGAAAAGGAAGCCTACTTTAAAATGCTTTCAGTAAAACACAAGATAAAAAGAACCTACAGCTAAAATTTTAGAGAAAATGATGATTTGTCTAAATACTGAACCCCAATCGAGACATCTAATTAGACATAATTAAATCATCAGTAAATCTAAACCTTTTTTCCACTGACATCAAAAGTTGATATTAAAATAGGAGGGGGAGTATCCTTTGATCTTGATGCTCTTTACACATCCCCAGACCTACCTTAATGCTCTTCAGACCGTGGTACATGATATGCTACCCTGACCTACCTTAATGCTCTTCAGACCGTGGAACATGATATGCTCCAGTTCAGCACACATCCTGTTGAGGCCTCCGTGGATGTTCCAGACATTACTGCTCTGTCCAGACAGCAGTCCCTCGGTCACTGTCTTCAATCCAAACAGCAGGCTCTTGTGTTCTGATCTGGAAAAGGGAGACAAAATTGTCTCTTTCATGTTGAATTGTTAATAACACTATCAAACTGTTATAGTGCATGGCTATTATGTATAAATGATGCCATATGGATTTTATTTTCTAAATCTAAAATGTGCATGCTGTCAAATTATGAAATTTATGCACAAATTTCGAATATAAACACTGAAGTATATATACACATAATTTTCCATCTTCGCTAGCCAAGGGTTTCTGATACGCTACTCTCCTCATGATTATGAAGAGAGTAGTGTATCAGAGACCCTTAAATGGCTGGTGAAGATGGGTTTACTGTCCCTTATCTGTTTTGTACATGCTACAGTATTATATAATGACAGAGACACATATATTTTTAAATGTCTCTGGTCCTATGTTTATAAGACCAAGTACCGGTATAACATCTTGATCAGCTCCTCCATCATTTAGAAGTTCACAAAAAGTTATTTCTGTGGTTATGACAAGAACTCGAAAATCAACCATTTTGCACCAGTTATACTGTGACTTATTAGATTGAACTCCAAATACTAAAATAGATCTCCTGTCTTGCAGGAAACGGGTGGGTTCGCCATGATTACATGTTCATGCCGAGTGGTATTACGCAGAGTGGTTTTGCCCCAATACAGATATGTTCTTCTCTTAAGTGATTTATTTTACACACAGCCGTAATTAGATCATTAAATATCATTTAATGCCTGATATAGAGTGAAATTCTTTAAGAATTTAAAATTAATTAATGCAACATATATCGATTCATTTATTTAAATAAAACAAATAAATAGGATCTATATAAATAAAAAAATACATTTAATATTTTAGTTTAACAAAAAAAAATACATACATTTTCTTGATGGATACATCAACAGTGTTTCCGTTAACGCATATTTCTGTATTTTACGCATAAAAATTACCTTTTACCCCCAAAAACGTCACCTAGAGGGTCATCATGACGCAGAAGAAAATATGAAAACAAGTTTTTAAAAATCTAGTTCAATATTGATGTTTTCATAGAAAAAGATATTTTATATGTTTAATTTACATTCTGAACAACTTTCTAGGAATTAATCATTGCATTTAGTTTAATTTCAAAGTGGCAGTAATTGAAATCGGCATTTCCACGTCAACAATCTATTAAATATTCTTTTGTAAGACCTAGCTATCTAATTCTTAACAAAACCGGAAGTGCAAGTAAAAATGGCACTTCAGCATGTTCAGCCTTACATCGGCATATTTATAACAGCTTGGCTTTGTCAAAAAGGCTAATTATGGTAATAAAAAGGTGAGGAAAGTTCAAATCCTTAATAAATAGTTTTGTAAAGCAATCAACAACTTTCAGTTGTTATCTTTTGATTGAGGTTTTCACGAAACCCTTTTGGTGTAATTTGTAAAAATGTAACTGTACCGTGACTGTGTACCGGTATAATAAAAGAAGTATACATGTATCAATTATATTTTACTTTCATTTTTTTTTTAATTTTTAAACATCAAATATATGATCTTAAATTAGAAGGCAGAGCTAATGTTAGAACCCAAATCAAACCAGAATATATTTTGACCCCCAAAAGTTTATATCAAAGGGTCATAATGACCCTTGGTTTTAAAAATTAGCAGAAACACTGCATCAATGTATATCAAATAAAACATTGGTATAGACAGATGTAAAAAAAAAACAAAAAAACACAAGGGCGGCCTTTTATCTTTAATTTTTATTAAGTTGCTCATCATAGGTCTACTAATCAAGGGGCGAAACCACTCAGAGCGAACAAGGATTCAGGGCGAAACCACCCGCATTTGTCTTGCATAAGGGAATCAGACCACTCCAGCATGCTAGAGACTCATGAGGAGATACACGTTCATTTGACGGTGCTGTGTAACCAAGGACATATAAGGAGTGTAGGGATGTTAAGCAAGGTTCATACTTGTAGGATTGGGATCAGATTATAAATTACATTATTCATATATTCTTTGCAAACTGAACAGAAAATAATTTTGTATCCAGTTCTAAGAATCATCAAAAATATTCCAATGACCTTTGGAGATTGATCCCTTTAAAAAAAAATTGAGAAAATTTACTTAAATTTATAGACTTAACCTTTGTATTCTTGACTGGCTTACAATTAGCATGGTTGAATTGTCAAAAGTTATAGAAACACAAAATAATAAAAAGTTGTCTCCGCCCATCAATCGCATCATATATTTTTGTTGATTTTCAATATTTACATTGATTATCTCTCAGAGACTTTTAATTAACCTGTAATTATGATCCGTGTGTACTTCATCTGACATCTTCTTGCACTTCAAAAGTCTACGTCCTTGATGATATATTGAATCAAAAATCTCAATAAATTTGTTTACATTTTGACTGCTATGTCGGAATTGTCATGTGTCTATCCAAGTCATTTCAGTCTTCAAGTGAAATAAGTTTAACTTTCGTACGAGTAAAACGTTTTGGTGATCCCTACACGTGTCTTTCGGGTGTCCTCGAGAGTTAACCTTCGTAAACATTAACCTCTCAAAAGAAAAACAGGAATGTAGTCTTATGAAACCTTCAAAATGCCAGGATCTTTGATACTTTTATGCAGATTTCCAGCAAAGCGATCACTGGAAAGGTGAGAGTTTTTTACGGAGGACATGTATATCCTCTTTTAAATTTGTTCACACTTTCTCTTGCAATTCGAATTTCCTCAGTTTCTGTAACCTCTTATGCAATATTGTGGTATAATGCTTTTTACACTTGTAGTGGAAATGAATTTGTGGACCAATCTCTTCATGCCATTAAAAACAAGAAATATTAAATTACCACCAAAATCGATGAACGATCATGTGGATATAAAATTAAAACAGTTGCTATTGCTACTGGCATGAGAAAATTCAAGAATGATTTCTTTTGTCAGTTTTGATAAGTTTAGCTGAGGAATGGAAAAAAACATTTAAAAAAATTATTCGACCTTGAACATTGAATCAAATTTAAAAAAGATAATTGGCGTCAACTTCACTCATAAAATAATTTTCAATTCATACATTCTGTTATACATTTATGTAATGTGTGTAATTGAATGTTGTGTACAATGCATGCACTTATGAACTCTAAAAAGAATTTTTGAATAAATTATTGCTATTTTTGTCTCTGAAGTAATTCAAGTTATTTGGTTGCAGCATTATATTGTAAATTCATGCTATATTTTATGTTTCAGTTTAACATCTTTATGCAAACACAGTCATGTTTTCAACGAAGCTTGTCAAGGAAGACTTCTCCTGCCAAAGGGAAACAACTGTTCTTTTATGCACAAACAGTTTATCAGAGGGGCTCGGGGCACAAAACTCGGTCCACATCAACCTTTTGAGAGTGACAGTTCTCTTCTCATGAAGCATTTCCTATTAACAGTCACAGTAAGGCTTAATTAAAATTGTAAATTTAATGGCATATTCTACAGACAGACAATTAAAGAAGAAAGGAATAGATATGATCTTTCTTCAGTGTTCATATCATAAGCATGATAAGCAATGTTCATTCTTTCCTATTTGTTTCTATTTAATCTAATGTTATTTGATATTTTTCAATTCCTGAATCAGTTGAGTTATCAAATTAAATTTATTATACAAGACTTGCTAGTTGCTGGTGCTATATATTATGACAGTAGGATATCATTAGTTCAGTTACATTTTCTCCTCTTTCTCCTCCTCTGTGAAAATTGTCTTCCTTTCATTACATTAAAAAAAATTTTCATATCTTCTCATACATTTTATGTTAGGTATGTGGTTGCAGTTTCACAGGTGCCATGATTTGGGAGTATGAAAACATAAAGAAAAAAATTCAAGCAATGAAGCAACAATTGTACTTCAGCCATGGAGCATTCAAAAATCACTACATAGAAGTTGTAAGTAGCAGTAAACGTAATTGATTGTGTATCATTTAATTTTTTTTTTCATTATACAAGTTAGAAAGAGATTTACCAGTAACTTATGAAATCCAAGTAAATCTAAGTGTAATTTAACATGTTCTTTTTTCTTGCAAAAAGTAATCTTGTAATCTTATGTCAGTTTGAGGAAAGTCATTGAATCATTATTTAAATGAATTAAGTAATTAATATAATAAGTCATCTAAGACTGGATTATTTTTTTTACTTGCAGACAAACCTAGTGAGTGGCATTGTTGTGATCAATGCTTTTGTTTATGTTTTATGGAAGATTCCCAGGATTTATCCCTTTATGCAGAGATATTTTTTATGCTCTCCTTGTAAAGGTATATATAAAGGAAAACATTGATGCTTACAGTATTTTCTCACCATTGTCAATAAATATTAAATGCTTGTACTTTAGTATAACAAATTACATTTTTACTGTTGTATGATGTCAAAAATTACAATTTTTAGCTCACCTCAACGAAGTTGGGGGGAGCTTATGTGATACCCTCGGCATCGGCGTTCCAGGTTAAGGTTAAGTTTTTTGGAGCAGTTTTCTTTTTAAGTACTTCTATGTCCTATATTGATTAGACATGCATGGAAGATGTTTCTAATGTGTTTCATTGTACCAGTCAAAGTTTCAGATGCTGCAATTTCAGCAAAGGAATGATCAGGTTAATGTTTTTGGTGCAGGTTAACATTTTTGGTGCAGTTTTTGTTGTAGGTCTCATTTCCGAGTAACTATAAGCCCTATGTTGACCAAACTTACGTGGATGGTACATCTTAGGATGCATACTACCAGACTTGCTTTGGATGCTGAATCTGACCTACATTTTCCGGTTGAGTGAACAGGTTAAAGTTTTTGGTGCAGGTTTCATTTCCAAGTTTCTATGAGACATATAATGACCAAACTTGCATGGATGGTACATCTTAGGATGCATTCTACTAGACTTGCTTCGGATGCTGAATCTGACCTACATTTTCCGGTTGAGTGAACAGGTTAAAGTTTTTGGTGCAGGTTTCATTTCCAAGTTTCTATGAGCCCTATAATGACCAAACTTGCATGGATGGTACATCTTAGGATGCATACTACCAGACTTGCTTCGGATGCTGAATCTGACCTACATTTTCCGGTTGAGTGAACAGGTTAAAGTTTTTGGTGCAGGTTTCATTTCCAAGTTTCTATGAGACATATAATGACCAAACTTGCATGGATGGTACATCTTAGGATGCATATTACAAGACTTGCTTCGGATGCTGAATCTGACCTACATTTTCCGGTTGAGTGAACAGGTTAAAATTTTTGGTGCAGGTTTCATTTCCAAGGTACTATGAACCCTATAATGACTAAACTTGCCTGGATGGTACATCTTAGGATGCATACTACCAGACTTGCTTCGGATGCTGAATCTGACCTACATTTTCTGGATGAGTAAACAGGTTAAAGTTTATGGTGCAGGATTCATTTCCAAGTAACTTTGAGCCCTATAATGACCAAACTTGCATGGATGGTACATCTAAGTGTGCATTCTACTAGGCTGGCTTCAGAAGCTGAATCTGCCTACATTTTCTGGATTAGTGAAAAGGTTAGTTTTTTATCCAGGTTTCATTTCCAAGTAACTTTGAGCTCTATGTTGAACAAACTTGCATGGATGATACATCTGAGGATGCACACTAATGGACTTTCTTCAGATGTTGAATTCGACATACATTTTCCAGATAATAGACCTCGTAAAAGTTATGAGTGCAGGTCTATCACCAAGAAACTATAAGGCTTATATAAACCAAAGTTGCACAAATGATGCTTCAAGGGATGAAAACTCTCAATCTTGCTTCAGATGCTGGATTTTAATTACATTTTCATGATGAAGAACTAGCTTTAAGTTTTTATATAGGTCTATTCCAAAGTATCAAAATTGCATAAATTTTTTATTTTTGGATGTACACTTTTTGTTGGTTAATTGTGTGACTTAATTTGCCTTACTTAAAGACAACATTCGTTGAGGTGAGCTCTGTAATCTCTGATTACCTATGTTTATAATTCAAATCAGACTTGCTATTTTCTCACGGTTGTCAATAAATATTAAATGTTTGTACTATTTCAGAACAGTCCGTCTTGGGGAGCTTTTTTGCGGCCTTCAGCCATGAGAACTTCCTCCACTTGTTCTGTAATATGTATGTCCTGTTGAGTTTTTCTACTGTCACTCTTAGCATGTTTGGAAAGGAACAGTTTCTAGGAGTTTATCTGAGTGGTGGTTAGTGTTCTATTTTTATATATATAAATACTGCAGTTTGTTAAAAGAGAGGAGCCCATCCTTTGACTACTAGTAATGAATATTGTTTCCATTTAAAGCATAAAAATATCAATTTTATCTATCTCTGTAGAACGTGATGACAATCACTTTCATATGAAAAAAAAGAATTATTAATGTGGGAAATATTTGAAGCTAAATAATGACCATAAACCTTTATGATATTATAGGGGCATAAGTCTGTTAAAAAGACTCTCAATAAGGATAATGTCCTTTAAATACTATACTTTGTCATGTTTATGTGTATAATTCTTAAAGGGCAGATCTGTAATACATGTAATTATAATGCCTCTTCTTTGTGGCTTTGTGGGTTTATGAGTGCCTGTTATTTGCCAGTGAGTTTTTTTCAGAGGAGAATTTTTCTATTACATTTACTAATCTAATTTGTTTTTTGTTTTTTTGTTCTTCTTGTAGCTGCTGTGTCGTCTTTTGTGAGCATGTGTAACAAGGTTGCCTGGAAGATTCCAACCCCTTCTGTAGGAGCGGTGAGCTGATACTAAATCTTTACTAGGATATCATATTTTCATTTTTAGAAAAGCATACTTTGTCTTGTAGATTCTATCAGATTTTTTAGTTATTAAATTTGCTTTAAATAAGTTCTTACAATCATAATTTGAAATATTCAAGTTCCAGATTGCATTATCGTTAAAGGTCTGTGCAGATTGTCTGCATTCTTTTATTGTGTTGTTTAATGGTATTTTTCTGTATTTTAGTCAGGTGCAATATGTGCCTTGATTGGAGCCACCTGTCTTACCTACCCAGATAGTCAACTCAGTATAGCATTTATAGACCAGATTATCCCACACTCATTTACAGCTCAGTCAGTGAGTATAAACATTAAATCTACCCAGATAGTCAACTCAGTATAGCATTTATAGACCAGATTATCCCACACTCATTTACAGCTCAGTCAGTGAGTATAAACATTAAATCTACCAAAATATTCAGAACAGTATAGCGTTTATAGATCAGATTATCCCACAGTCATTTACAGCTCAGTCAGTGAGTATAAACATTAAATCTACACTGATAGTCAACTCAGTATAGCGTTTATAGACCAGATTATCCCACACTCATTTACAGCTCAGTCAGTGAGTATAAACATTAAATCTACACTGATAGTCAACTCAGTATAGCGTTTATAGACCAGATTATCCCACACTCATTTACAGCTCAGTCAGTGAGTATAGACATTAAATCTACACTGATAGTCAACTCAGTATAGCGTTTATAGACCAGATTATCCCTCACTCATTTACAGCTCAGTCAGTGAGTATAAACATTAAATCTACCAAAATATTCAGAACAGTATAGCGTTTATAGACCAGATTATCCCACACTCATTTACAGCTCAGTCAGTGAGTATAAACATTAAATCTACCAAAATATTCAGAACAGTATAGCGTTTATAGACCAGATTATCCCTCACTCATTTACAGCTCAGTCAGTGAGTATAGACATTAAATCTACCCAAGTCAACTCAGTATAGCGTTTATAGACCAGATTATCCCACACTCATTTACAGCTCAGTCAGTGAGTATAGACAGTAAATCTACCCAGATAGTCAACTCAGTATAGCGTTTATAGACCAGATTATCTCACACTCATTTACAGCTCAGTCCGTGAGTATAGACATTACATCTACCCAGATAGTCAACTGAGTATAGCATTTATAGTATACACTTATCCACTGGTTGTGAGTGGGATAGCTCTTTTATCAAACCTGCGACAGGGAACTATTCCCCGAGGGCTTGCCCGGGAGGAATAGTCCCTGTCAAGGGTTTGATAAAAGAGCTATCCCACTCACAAACAGTGGATAAGTGTTTTATTATACTGATGTATCATATAATTTCTGAGGTTTGAATTATTTGGGAGTAAGATAATACTGCAAGAATAATCTGAAATCCTGATGATGTCACAATGCTACTGAAGTCATTATGACATCATCAGTCAATAGATTTATCGCTGAAAATCAAAATTGGAGGCAATAATTGCATGAAAATTTTCCGAGGGTGGATAGCAAAAACTATACCCCGCGGTATAGCTTTGCTATGCGTGAACTATAAAAGATAGCAATTTTACCTTCTGAACTTTATATAGTATCAGGGGTTTAAAAATACGGTGGTCCGAGGTCCGGGACCTAAAGTTCTTGGGGGCGGACTAGCTAATCCTTACCTATCAATAGTCCGTCGGACCAGTACTTTTGAGAATGAAAAATATTATTTTAATAGGAATATTAGAAAAAAATAAACAACAACCAAAAAAAAAACCTCGTTCGTGTGTACTTTCGTTTTCTTTTAAAGCGTTCGGCTCACCTTGCCTGACTACAATATACGACAATGGCCGAGGTGTGCCGAGCGTTGTGAAAGCACTTAAGTCGCATCACTATAACGTTTTATTGCTGCTCTTAAATAAAAACTAATTTCAAGCGTCAGTTCGATTGCATCAGTTTGACAGCGTGGTGGGAAAGGCGCCATGAGTAAAAAGGGCCAACAAACATTGTTTGATTTAAAGTTCGTCAGTTCAGCTGCTGAAAACGGTAAAAGGAAAAGTTCTGATGAAAATAAAGATCAAAAATATGACAAAAACAAGCGAAAAAGAACATTTCAAGAAGGTTGGAAAGAACGATATCCGTGGGTTGATCAGGATGATGATGGACTTATGTTTTGTAAGTACTGTCGCAGTTTCCCTGAATTTGCCAACAAATCGAGCGCCCTGTATAAAGGAACAACAAATCTAAAGATAGATCCTTTGATTTCACATGATAAGACGAATGAACATTTAACAGTTAGTAAACATTATTTAACCAAAAAAAATCCCATTTCCAATGACCAGAACAACAACGAGGCAGTCGCAGAATATCGGAACAAACTATTACCCGTGATTAAAGACACGGAGATAGGCAAAGCTTTTTATAAATTGTCTGAAGAGGAGAAGAAAAAAATGACAGTCCTTTTCAATACTGCGTATGCAGTTGCACGAAATGGAAAACCATTTTCAGATTATTTGTACATTTATGAATTGAACAGCTTGAATGGATTAGATATAAACGGTCAATATAACAATATAATTGCCTGTGAAAATTTTATTGAGGCTATTTCACAGACTTTAAGAGAAAGAATTTGTGATGAAGTTCTGATGACAAACTGTGTCAGTATACTTGCTGATGGATCTACAGATGCCGCAATATTGGAACAAGAAATTGTCTATCTGCGGTCAGTACTATATAACAAAATTGTAATTTAATGCATAAGATGACATAATATTTGGTAAAGTGCATCAATATTTTGCATTTTTTTCAAATAATATGTTATTTTAAGAAAAGAAAAAGCATTTTGTGTTTTAGAAAAAAAATTAAATGACAAGTTAAATTTGATAAAGTCATATTTATTTGAATTTTCTTGTTTGATATTTAGGTATGTGCATCCAATTTCTGGGATACCAGTGTGTAGACAGATTGACATTATAGCAGTAAAATCGTCGGATGCCTCTGGAGTCTTGGGTGCACTGAATGCAGCAGTGGAAAATGGTTTAAATCTGAAAATGACCGATTTTCATCCTGATAACAAAGGAACTCCATCTCTCATCATGGCGAACTTTGACGGTGCTTCTGTAAACTTTGGATCAAAGTCTGGTGTTGTTGCACAAATGAAAAAAGACTTTACCAATATTTTGGCTCTGCAGTGTGTAGCTCATAAGTTAGAACTATCTATTTTAGATGCTGTTAAGTGTTGGAAGTATCTAAGTGACACATTTGAAGACATCATTAAGGGTATTTTCAAATTTTATCACTACTCCCCAAAAAGGAGGAGGGAACTTAGGGCAATTGCTGAGATATTAGAAAAAGAACTTATTCACTTTTCAAATGTAAAACAAGTCAGGTGGCTTGCTAGCAAGGCTAGGGCTATTGATGCTGTGAAAAAAAATTTTGAGCAAGTTGTAACACATTTAGAACATAATAATTTGTCTAGCACATATACAGAGGGTGCAAGTAAAGCCCTAGGGTATGTCAAAAAAATAACAACTGTCAAGTTTGTAAAAGTTTTGCATTTCATGCTAGACTTTTTACCTGTAGTTGCAAATCTGTCCAAATCATTTCAGTCTGAAACTGTGTTGTTGTGTGAAGTTACCATTTTAGTAGATGGGGCCATTTTAGCCCTGGAGGGTTTGAAAACAAGCAATGGGGCTAATATGAAAGAATTTTTAGAAAATTTTGACACTGTGACCTCAAAATATGGCAATGTAAAATTGACAAACAAACCACAAACACTCAATTACTCAGATGATGCTGATGTTAAAAAGTTTTTGTCTGATGTCATTACTTATTTAATGAAGAGGTTTGATGCATTGTACAAACCCCCATTTTCTTTGTTCAGTGTTTTTAATGTCAAGAACTGGCCAGTGCTAGTACCAGAACTAGGCAAGTATGGTGTTGATGAGATAATGTCAATTGTCAGTCATGAATGTTTTTCATTTTTATTCAATGAAGCTGAAAAGGCTGTTGTTCTTTCACAGTGGTCACTTTTGAAAGCAAAAGTTAGGCATCTTAGGCATGTATCATTAGTTGATATTTATTCCTCAGTTATTGCTGAGGACAGACAATCAAAGCATCTCCCTGTCATATGTAAGGTGATTGAAGTTATGATGACACTTTCCCCTAGCACTGCCAGTTGTGAAAGAGGATTTTCAACCCAGAACATTGTAAAAACAAATAGACGGACAAAACTTACTCAGAACAATTTGCGAAATCAATTACTCTTGATGTTAGAAGGTCCTGATTTGAAAGATTTTAGGGCAGAAAAAAGCATAGCACAGTGGTTGCTCTCTGCTAATAAAAGTAGACATGTACATGGTCACAAACTGCATGAGAAAGACTCTGAATATGATGATGAAACAAATATGTCTTATGATGCCTCAAAAGTTAATTAAAACTAAGCATTACAGTGTTTGTTTTGTTTTTTATTTGGACTAGTAATTTAGTGATGCGGACTAGTGAATTTCACCAGCTTAATAGTCCTTGGACCAGTGGATTTTCAGGGAAAATTTAAACCCCTGTATAGGAAACATTTTAACAGAAGTATAATAAACCAGATTATCCCACACTCATTTACAGCTCAGTCAGTGAGTATAAACATTAAATCTACACTGATAGTCAACTCAGTATAGCATTTATAGACCAGATTATCCCACACTCATTTACAGCTCAGTCAGTGAGTATAAACATTAAATCTACACTGATAGTCAACTCAGTATAGCGTTTATAGACCAGATTATCCCACATTCATTTACAGCTCAGTCAGTGAGTATAGACATTAAATTTACCAGATAGTCAACTCAGTAGAGCGTTTATAGACCAGATTATCTCACACTCATTTACAGCTCAGTCAGTGAGTATAAACATTAAATCTACACTGATAGTCAACTCAGTATAGCATTTATAGTCCAGATTATCCCACACTCATTTACAGCTCAGTCAGTGAGTATATAGACATTAAATCTACATTGATAGTCAACTCAGTATAGCGTTTATAGACCAGATTATCCCACACTCATTTACAGCTCAGTCAGTGAGTACAGACATTAAATCTACCAGATAGTCAACTCAGAAGAGCGTTTATAGACCAGATTATCTCACACTCATTTACAACTCAGTCAGTGAGTATAGACATTAAATCTACACTGATAGTCAACTCAGTATAGCATTTATAGTCCAGATTATCCCACACTCATTTACAGCTCAGTCAGTGAGTATAGACATTAAATCTACACTGATAGTCAACTCAGTATAGCGTTTATAGACCAGATTATCCCACACTCATTTACAGCTCAGTCAGTGAGTATAAACATTAAATCTACACTGAAAGTCACCTCAGTATAGCATTTATAGACCAGATTTTCTCGCATAATCACCAGTGTTAGATTGACTTGTCCGTTGTGAGACAGCAGAGTGAGATTTTTCTGTCTCACACTGTGAATTACTACGCCGCGAACGATAACGTAAACATTTCGTCTTTATATAAAGAATTTGTAATAATGTTAAAAAATATTACATATGCTTAAAAGCTTGTCATTTAATTTATTAAGATAAACTTTTTCATTCAAAATATTGTCGTATTTTCACTTTTTGAAAGGCACTATTTTTTGATCACGGAAATTCATTCTTCTGAATGAAAGTTTACGGTATCGTATAGATAAGTTTTTTTTATTCCTAGTTTTTATCTATCTAATTAATTTACATGGACCAAAATTCATTTTATTAGTTTACACTACGTCAGTACGTGTAAACCATTTTCAGGTACGTTCTATCCGATGGTGCATTTAGTTTTTTAATTAGATGGAAAATTAAAAGAACTTTCATTTTTATATTTTTAGCCCTATCATGGCGACATCATTGACAGGCCGTTATTTTGGAAATAATGCGAGAAAAATAATCATTCATTACATACTCGTGTGGGAATAGTGAAATTCCACCTCGGGGCCAAGATTCACGGTCTAGGACTCGGCAAAGCCTCGTTCTAGACCGTGAATCTTAGTATCCCCTCGGTGGAATTTCACTATCCCACACTCATAGTAATGAATGATTCTATTAATCCCACACTCATTTACAGCTCAGTCAGTGAGTATAAAAATTAAATCTACCTAGATAGTCAACTCAGTATAGCATTTATAGACCAGATTATACCACACTCATTTACAGCTCAATCAGTGAGTATAAACATTAAATTCTGTTGAAAATTATATCAAACACTTCATTCCTTTAAATTCTTGTTTGTACATGATAAGTTTTGCTTGGTGGATTTAGAAGTGAATCATTTCTAGCTGTATCATTGTTGTACAAGTCATAAAATAATATCAGCTGTATGACACACAGACATATTACATGTACAATTACACTGTAATTCATATTTTTTTCAAGGATTTTTAAAATGCCTCTAAGAAAAGCTGTTCTATACCTGTACTACACATTCTTTGCTCTCAATTAAACATACTTCATATACAAAGTCATTTAAGTTCACCCTCCAATCAAAAATTCATATAATATTCAAATGCTTCTCTATTCTGATTCCCCATGAATACCAGGCTAATGTTATCAGGCGCGTAGCCAGGCGTACGTTTGTACGCACAAACGTCCACATCATTTTCCAAAGAAAAAAAAAGAAAAGAAAAGAAAAGAAAGAAAGAAAGAAAGGAGAGGAAAGCCATAAAAAATGAAAATCAATAGAATCAGTTTTATGGGAAAATACGATATTACATGCACCACTGAAATCAAAAGATTTTCCCGGATTTAGGTTTACTATCGAATATTGCTGATTTTTTCCAAGTGTAATTACATTCTTCATTGGAGTTTCTCTATTGTAGATGTCACACAATAAAACCCCGCCCTGTCGATTCCCTTAAACAGATTTATGCCAAAAAATTCAATTTCTATTAATCGAAATTAACTTTCAACCGCAATACTTAACTTCTGTAACGATAACCCCCCCCCCCCCCCCATTTTAACTAATATCGGATTCATGCAAGACTTCAAAGTTCAGAAATTTAAAATTGGTAAAATTTAGTTAAACCTTAAAAATAATAACCTGTTTAAGTACTGACAGTGTGCAACAAAATGCGTTTTAAAAGGATTCTTCTGTCTTTGTTATTTTCAATCTTTAGAGATGCATTTTTAATATTAATGTTAGCCTGACTATCAGTCAATTACGTGGTCTGTCTAAACCAGTCAACCACTCTAACCAACTACTATATGTTACCATACGTATTTTGTCGAGCTTCAAAACTCTAAAATTGTTTTAGTGGATTCACTTTTGCATGGACAGATCTTTTCTCATTTTTGAGTGACTGTCCGCAAGAACAGACCTTAAGTATGTGGCTGCGTAACAAACTGAAAAGGTGTAAGAAAATGCAAACAGAAGGGTCAAACATGCACATCGAAGTCGTCGTAAATTCATCAGCCTCCGGAGGCTTCGCCCCCTAGGCTCCCACCAGGACTTTGCCCTGGACTCATTGGGGACCTTAAATCCCCAGCCTATCCAGGCATCCACATCAAATGTACCCTGCCTACGCCCCTGGTTATACAGTACTGTAGATTCCTAATTATACGCGAGGAATTAATTTCCGCGTAATTTCACGAGAAGCATCGCTTGCGAAAAAATATTACTCACTTTTATTTTTATGGTGCTGAAGTCTATGTAAATTCTGTTGATCAACCGTTCATTCGTGAATTATAATTCTCGCGGTTTAACGTTAAAGACCCAGTTCGTGATTAAAAGTACTCACTGAAAATGTATTTTTATTTTATTCCTACCCCCAGGGTTTACTAGGACTGATAACCTTTGACACCTTGGGAGTTATCTTTAGATGGAGGTTTTTTGATCATGCTGCACATTTAGGTGGAACCTTATTTGGCATGTAGGTATTTTTCTTTAATTGTACATGTACGTACCTTTCAATTCTATTTTTGGTGTTTTTACATGAATACTGAAATCAAGACTTTTGTCTTTCAGATGGTATATGAAATATGGACAGGATCTCATCTGGAAAAAGAGGGAAGCTGTGATTAAATGGTGGCATAACATGAGGAAGCCTTCAAAATGACTGCATTTTTTAAACTAATAAAATTGACATTATTTATAGCATTTTGAAAGTCGTGAGAAAAAATTTTTTGCATGTGTCTCTTAAACCTTTGCATCATAGTCTGAGGTTGTTAAATTAGAGAAAATCATATCAGGAATATGAGTACTGATTTGAAGTGGATGTGATCTTACTTCTAAATATCCCTACACTAAGTGATGCTCAAAAACAACAATGATCAAACATATTAAATTAATTGAAGATTTGTTGCAACACATACATTTATGAATATTAATGACCTTGGAACCAATAATTATCCATTCAGAGTCAGAGAACTACAAAAAATGGAACTGTGTAGAGAATATGCATCATATGTCAAAGAAATTGTTGTTAGATCTGTGTTATATTTTATATTAAATTTTGTAAATCAGACATTAATACTGGGAATACTGATTTAATTTCTACCACAATCACTTGTAGTGTCATTGTGCACCTCCTATACATAACATTTTGATCGATACATTTTGGTTTCCCCTAGCAAAACTTGGATACAACCATTCATCTATAATATTGACGGGTATCCATCTCTTAAGGATCCACAACTCCTCCTATACCACGGAATAAAATTTAATGTGACTTTCACAAATTCTCTCTTACACTGTGCCATTGTGGCCTCCTATTTATACACTTTTTAAACCGACAATTATTTCTGGTTTCCCAGAGAAAAAAGTACTTTGCCATTATAATCATATGGGAGCCAGGAGTATCGTTTTGTTTGAACTCAATGCTCAAAGCATCTTTAGTTTCGTCAATGATTTGGAAACATTCGCCACTGAACTAAGTGTATAGAATGTAAAAATTATTTGCCACTTTTTTTGCGACAAAAAGAAGCATTTATATGATTTTGTTTTTTGAGGAATACTTATGTATTTTAATCCTAGGACAAGAGCAATCAAACACAGGCACCTGTGCAATCAAACTGATAAGAATATAGATCATCAGAGTATATTGGTGTCTTAATATGGTAACAAGTAACATGTTTTATGTTCTTTTTGGTTTCCTTAATGCAATATGTGTTTTGGGACACCAAGGATTCGAAATTCACTCGGCAGATGTTGAAGGGGAAAAGTTGTGTTCCGATGAGAACGTTTTTCACATTCAGCAAGAACAAATTGACTTTCTTATGAGAAAAGTTTCTGAACTCTCAGCTGGTTTTCAACAACAGAAGACGGAAATAATTCAACTGAAAAACGAAAATCAAAATCTGATTCGTGCTTTGTCGGACATTGAGAAAATGTTTCAAAGTAGTCGACGCAAAGATGGCCATTCAAAGTTAAAGTATGAAAACGGATTTAAAAAGAGTTCATTGCAACATGTGCAGGAAGATGGAGAGTCGGCAAAAGCTACAGAAAGGAAGGGTATCTCCAAAATCAGAAAAGGTATCGTTTATATTGACATTTTATTCAAACATAGGCGTTGAACCGAGGGTGGGTGGTTAGCTCTCCCCCTCCCAATATTTTGCAAAGATAAACATTGTAAAGGCATTGAAAATTGCAATTGGGTCCTACTCCTCCCCTATCGATACTATTTTCTTGTATAAAATCAAATAAATTTAATTTCACTGAATTTCAAAGTTGTTGATGGTCTTCAATGAATGGTACGCTGCAATCATGTTTGAAAGAAACTGGGTTTTTTTTTCACAGAAAGGCTATTATTACCACTTCCTACAACCCGATCACCTCCTGCAAGTAAAGACGTCATAGCTTTTTATGCGTATATGACGGGTGACAGCATTGATCCTGGTGCCTCGCGCACTCTCATCTTTGATAAAATAATCACCAATGCTGGAAACGGGTATCACAATGCCACTGGAGCTTTCATCGCGCCCCGAACTGGCATTTATGTTTTCTCATGGTCCATGCGTTTAGTTAACAGCGCTTATCACCAAGCGGAACTGGTGCACAACCACAACGTTATGGGCGTGGCATATCTCTACGCCCCCACCGGAGACCACACGGTCAGCGGTACGGTAGTCATTCACGTTAACCAAGGGGATGACGTTTTCATCAGAACACAATCCGGGGCCAATTCTGGGAACATCGAAAGTGGGCCTGGTGGACGTACATCTTTCTCCGGGTGGAAACTAAGTTGAATTAAAAATTGACAACAACGATAATTTGCCGACTTTGATTGATTTATTCGATTTGAAAGAAACTATCTAATGTATTTATATCTTTGTAAGCATTTGGCATTGATGTTAATGATGTATCTTCTTCGTCTACTCATTTTATATTGATCATGTTTCGGTATATTGTATTTTCAAGTGCATATTGGCAACACCCATCAGCCACGCAATTCTAAATTTCTAGAACCCATATAGTAAACATTTAAAGACTGCGAAACAGTGAAAAAATGGTAGATGGAACATTTCCAAGTTTATCAACAAAGGACAAGATAGGGTAAGACCCTTTTTTGGCCCCTGATTTTGGGCGTCTCTCAGAATGATGCAACAGTTAATCCATTAAAACCTGTTGTCACCCCTGTCACAAAATAAGTATTGGTTCTAAGTTTTTGAATACACAGAGGTCACGGAGAGGTCAGAAAATAGGTTAATCTTCGAATTTTTCATTTTTTGCAAATTTTCGATTTTACAGCACATTTTGTTTTGGAAAACATAGAGCACAAGCTTGTCTATCTCCCAAATTATATATGTTATACACAAGTATCAGGTGCATCTTCTGTGCAAAAATCTCAGATAGGCAAGTGTATGCTCTATGTTTTCCGAAGAGTAAAGTATCTAATGATCAATTATAATGAAATTCCATAAGAAAATGCCCTATTTCTGCACAAAAGTGGCTTCCATGTAAGCTTTGAATCCAAATTAGTGCTAGTTTTCAAGCATGCATCATTTTAAGTTCTTGTATCTACAAACTATCACAATTCTACCAATGTTCTGATTTTTACATCAAATAAGGGGCCAGATTCGGCCCTTACCCTACCTTGTCCTCTTACAATCTGTTTTGAAGTGAAGATTACACAATATTTTATTATGCATTATTATATCATTGTTTCGTTAATGATATTTGTCAAAGAATAGAATTGTGGATAAACCGAGGCTTAGGTTTAAAAAAAACTGCAGTTCATGTGGTTAGTTTTACGAAAACTAGGATATTTACAAGACCCAGGATTATGAAATAGATCATTTTAATTTAATACTTGTTAAATGAAACTCTTAAGGACAGATTATACAAACAAAAAATGGATGTCTGGACTGTTATATATTTTTTGACCCAATTTCATTGCAAATGATGCAAATAATAAATTTCTAGAATATAAAGAAATTGTAAACCTTCTTTGATGTTCGAAATTCTACCCTTCTGAAACTATCCTTATTATTCTATACAAACAAATATTTTCACTTCAAATTCCGTTTTTGTGCAATTTTGAATAAAAAAAATTAAAAACTACGCGGTGAGACGTATTCATTTCATTCATTAAAACATGACCCAAATTGTTATTCTCAAAATTGTTGACAAAAGTTTGTTTGTCTGTCCTTAATTTGCACATAACAGCAGTTCGATAATGATGCATTTTTAAATTGGAACGCACTATCATCATTTTGGACTCCTTAACTTCTAAAGTACCACATACAAGTATATTTTGACTTAAAGATGCTTCATGATCTCGGGGGCCAGTATAGATAAGGGATATTCTGCTACCTTTGATATTTTGCGATTAATTTTCTTTTTTTTTTCTACATTGCGGCATTCTGCTTTCTTAAAAATTGCAATCTTTATATAAATAAACAAAAATAACATACAAAAATTATACAAAAAAAATAAAAGAAAGAAAGACAAAAAAGGAAGAAGAAAGTAACATGGACCTATCAATTTATGCTCCCTCAATATAGTGATTAGTGCAGTCATTAAGTATTTTACATCAAATAAAATAAAACTCTTATATAGCAACGTTCTATATTGCTGAAGAAGAAAACGACTCCTTTAATTTTAGCAAAATAATAAGCTAAAGGAAATTACAGTATTTTGAAATGGGAGCCAGGAGTATCGTTTTAGCTGTGAGCTAATCTCTAGTTTCGTCAATAATTCTGAAACATTCGCACTTACTGTACAGAATGTAAAAATTATAAGCCACTTTTTTGCGAAAAAAGATCAATTCATATATTTTTCTTGAGGAAGACCTTTGTATTTTAATCTTACGGACTAGAGCAATCAAACTGATAAGAATATATAGATCATCAGAATATATTGTTAATCGGTCGGTGTCTTAATATGGAAACTAGTAGCATGATATGTGTTCTTTTTGGTTTCCTTAATGCGATTTGTGTTTTGGGAAACCCAGGATTGGAAACCCACTCGGCAGATGTTGAATGGAAAAAGTTATATTCCGATGAGAACATTTTTCACATTCAGCAAGAACAAATTGACTTTCTTATGAGAAAAGTGTCTGAACTCTCAGCTGATTTTCAACAACAGAAGACGGAAATAATTCAACTGAAAAACGAAAATAAAAATCTGATTGGTGCTTTGTCGGAAATTGAGAAAATATTTCAAAATAGTCGACGCAAGGACGGCCATTCAAAGTTAAAATATGAAAACGGATTTAAGAAGAGTTCATTGCAACAAGTGGAAGAAGACGAAGAGTCGACAAAAGCTACAGAAAGGAAAGGTATCTCCAAAATCAGAAAAGGTATTGTTAGTATTGAAATATTACTCAAACATAGGCGTCGGAACTGAGGGCCCCCACCACATGTGCAAACACTTTTTTTTCAAAGATAGACATAATTAAGGCACTGAAAAAAATTGCATTTGCCCCTCCCTCTCCTTCCCTATTGATATGTTACATTATTTTTTTCTCTACAGAAAGGCTATTGCTACCACCTCATACCACCAAAGCCTCTCCTGCAAGTAAAGACGTGATAGCCTTTTATGCGTATATGACGGGTGACAGCATTGAACCTGGTGCCTCGCGTACTCTCATCTTTGATAAAATAATCACCAATGCTGGAAACGGATATCGCAATACCACTGGAGCTTTCATCGCGCCCCGAACTGGATTTTATGTTTTTTCATGGTCCATGCGTTTATTCAACGGTTCTTACCACCGAGCGGAACTGGTGCACAACCACAAAGTTATGGGCGTGGCCTATCTCTACGCCCCCACCGGAGACCACACGGTTAGTCATACGGTAGTCATTCACGTTAACCAAGGGGATGACGTTTTCATCAGGACACAATCCGGGGCAAATTCTGGGAACATAGAAAGCGGGCCTGGTGGACGTACATCTTTCTCCGGGTGGAAACTAAGTTAGATGTTATTGACCACAATATGACTTCATGTGCAAAATTTACATAAACTTCTTTTAAAAGAAGCGAAAGTTTTGGTTGTCAAATATCAGAATACGAGAAATCAATAAATGACGAAGAATATTAATTATTCTGCTTTCTAATTTTTTTAACAACTTTGTACGCGTTGTCCAAATCAGTAAAAATCAATTACATGTAGTTATCGACCACACGTGATGCATGGATGTTTATGGTAATATTTTTTTTCTACAAGCTTAAACCACAAGATAAAAGTGTAAATATCGACAGATCCCCCTCTTTAACAGAAATCATCACCGTCCGTGTTGTCTGAAACATGTGCTGGTCACATATAAATCTCTATGTCCAAACAGAAAATGACGTCATGATCGAACAAACATCAGTTCAAGAGAGAAGGTGAGATTTCTAGTTTTTTTTTTTTTAAAGAGAATGGAGCTTTTAAAATGTCTAGTCATGTGTACAATTTTATTTTGTATTTTTGGAATTTCAGCTAATGCACAATTAAGTAAGTAAACAGTTTTTACTCTCATGTACTTCAGACTATTCTATGGTCATTCCTTGAGCATTAAAATATTTCAGATGTTAACAAAATTTACGGTGACAAAGAAATTTCAGTGGATTTAGCTATACATGTACTTTGAGGCAGTTTGAAAATATTTTATAGTTTGGTAAGATAGAGGGAATGTTCATTTTATCATATTTTCCAAAAATCAACTGGATTGGTTACTTCTCTAAATTCTCCAAATATAATTTTTTTAGTGCATGCGTTCAACATATTTTTCACAACAGTACACGTAGGTTTATTAAACAATTGTTTTTTTTTTATGTAAACCCTTTTGCAATAATATTTCATTTTTGATGTGACTACACAATTAGTACTTATATAAATGTTAAATGCTTAAATTTTTGCCTTTTTATCGGAACATAGAGCATTAAGCTCTAGCTTATCGGAAAATATATTTCGAATTGATTCATCTATCAATTTCTTCAATTTTTTTAAAGATGAGAGTACATTTAGAGAGCTTGATTTTAGCAACCTTATCAGTAAACATGTTCTACCAAAAATGAAGGGTCACATTTTTACGCCAGAAAATGATACTACAGTCCAGAATGACACAGGTGAGTGTGGCAGATATGCTTTTATAAGATGTATATTATAAATGTTTAATTTTAATTATGTATAGCTATATAACACTTCTTGTTAAAAATTGAGTTTTAAGCAAACTTTAACATTATTTTTTGTACATGCATAGCATTCAAATCGGTACATGTATTTTCAGAGATAATTACACCCACTACAAGGAAACTAGATTTTGGTAAGATATTCAATATGTTTTTGTTTAGCATCCTACGAATATATTTTTAAAATAAGTCCGACTATTTATTTTATTTATTTATTTATTTTTTCTTTATTTGTTGATACTTATAATACAATAATACAGATGCTTAATATTGAATAAGTTTTACGCTCTTTCTTTCATTATCTTATTAGATCTCTTGAAATGTTAAAATGGTATTGATATATATTTTGATCACAAAATAAACGCCAATATGAATCCGAGACTTCAGAAGATACGAAAAACTTATTATATCTTAGTTTGATTTAATAAACGAGTTACCTTTTCATACCTACAGACACACGTTGGATTATCTTTCTTTGAAGATCGCCGCATTAATACATGCCATTAAAATAATGACCTACTTTTACAGTGTAAACGTGCTTTTAATGCTTATCCTTTAAGTTGATATAAAAGTTTATTAGACAATAATTGACATCATTAATTTGATGTTAAATCTAGTTATGCAGTATTAGAGTTAATACTGAAATGGAAAAGAAAATATTGAAGAAAATCTTTTCCATGTAAAACTCGATACTTTACCACTGTGGTGTATGCAAT